GAGAAGACGAAGGATGAAGATGCATTTCGAATCCGCGAATGCGAATTAAATTAATGACACGCGATATTTGCATAATACAAAATTATTAACGTCGGACGTTTCTTGCTCGTGTTTCTCTCTCTCTATATATATATAGATAATGTTTTTTTTTTCAACATCTCTTCGAGAGAGGATAGTCTCATGATGCTGTAGCAGCAGCAGCCAGAAGCAGAAGCACTTTTAATAAGCACTCTCTGTACATAACTGTCTAAACCTTAACTGTAAAGTCGATTTTTGCTCGGGCTAAAAATAGACGCACATTTACACATACGCGAAGATAAATTCATATTCAGAAGGAGAGGAAGATTGTCTTCGTTTTCCGCGAGCTCGGAAAATCGTTTCCCTGTGTATATTTTACTAAATAATTGCAACTTGTAAGACGATACGCGTCGCTCGCAATTTAATGGATTAAAAAATATATATATATTATGTATGGAGCTTTGACGCGGAGGAAGAGAGGACATTAATCAAATTGGATGATAATAATGTCCACTCTCAATTAGCAAGAAAATCGATTTGAATATTTATAGATTAAAAGGTAAAATCTATACTATTATAACCGAGAAAACGTCTAGCATTCTTGACTTTTGACACAAACGTCAAAATTTGTTGTTTTCTCTTTAAGATAATAACCATTTACAATTAAAATAACAGGAAAATCTATTTGAATATTCGCAAATTCTGACGTTTGTCACATCATAAACATCTGAAATGTTAACGTTTGACAGATTACAAACGTCAAAATTTGTTTTTTCCTTTTTAAGGTAATTGTCATATGGATAATAACCATTTACAATTAAAATAACAGGAAAATATATTTTTTCCTTTTTAAGTTAATTGTCATATGGATAATAACCATTTTCAATTAAAATAACAGGAAAATATATTTGAATATTCGCAAATTCTGACGTTTGACAGATCTCCAAACATCTGAAATGTTAACGTTTGACAGATTACAAACGTCAAAATTAGTTTTTTCCTTTTTAAAGTAATTGTCATATGGATAATAACCATTTACAATTAAAATAACAGGAAAATCTATTTGAATACTCGCAAATTCTGACGTTTGACAGATCTCCAAACATCTGAAATGTTAACATTTGATAGATTACAAACGTCAAAATTTGTTGTTTTCTTTTTAAGGTAATTGTCATTTGCATAATAACAATTTACAATTAAAATAATAGGAAAATCTATTTGAATATTCGCAAATTCTGACGTTTGACAGATCACAAACATCTGAAATGTTAACGTTTGACAGATTACAAACGTCAAAATTTATTGTATTCTTTTTAAGGTAATTGTCATTTGGATATTAACCGTTTATAATTAGCAGCAAGAAATAAAATAATAGGAAAATCTATTTGAATATTTGTAAATTCTGACGTTTGACAGATCACAAACATCTGAAATGTTAACGTTTGACAGATTATAAACGTCAAAATTGTTGTTTTCTTTTTTAAGGTAATTGTCATTTGGATAATAACCATTTACAATTAAAATAACAGGAAAATTAAAATATTCGCAAATTCTGACGTTTGGCAGATCACAAATATCTGAAATGTTAACGCTTGACAGATTACAAACGTCAAAATTAGTTTTGTTCTTTTTTAGAAGTTACGTATCATTTGTGGATGGGAATCCACTAGCACCTGTTTAAAAAGAAACATAATCATTGTAATCCTCGGAATCTCCACATGTATTTATAATATATGAATAAGTAGTGGGAAAATCCTAAAATCGATTAAATATTTATAGATTTAAAGGTAAAAATCTATAATATTGACGTGTGACAGATCACAAACGTCAAAATGAGTTGATTTGTTTTGTTTTTTGAAGGTTAATTATCACTAATTTTTCAAATGCTTCTGAAAAAATTAGAGATTTTGCAAAATTGAGAAACGAATGACAAACGATTGAGGCTTTGATTTAGAATTAAAGTCCAGATGGAAATTCAGGTGAATCAGTGACAAAACAAATGACTAACAAACAAATGATGAAATTACGTAAGGATTAATTGGTTCCATGGAAAATTTTGTTTTTGTAATAGAAATAAATTCGAATCGATATTCCTGTTTATCGATGAATAAAACTATAAACTCATTTCACCAGCAAAAACAAATAAAATAACAAAACAAAAAAAAGTCACAAAACAATAGACTAATAAACAAATGCCATAAATAAACAATTAGTATTACATTTTTTAAGTTCGAAATTTTGAAAAATTGAATTTTAAGATTTTATTTTTCTAACAAACTAATTTGAGAATCTTTACTACGCTTCTTATAATGTAACTAAACTTTCGAATCTGTGCACAGTTTCAGAGAGGAAGGAAGATGCACATAAGAACAGTTTCGCAATTAATCATCATCATCATCATCTGAATATTTTTGAAAACTGTGTAATCGGAAAAAGTAAATAAATAAATAAACAGATGACAAACGATCGTGCGGTTCGATAACACACACACACTCGATCTCTCTTTTAAAACTCGGCTTACGTCGTGCACAAATTTGTTACATCATTTACAACAACAGCGACAACAAACAACACGGATCGCAATTTGCGCAACGCTGCGACAATTATGAAGAAAAGTTACAAATGAAGAAAATTAGAGAAATATTTAATAATAATAACAACAACAATATGAGTTAAGGTATCCGTGTCAAATCAACAAAACTTATTGGACGACTTTCGCGGTCAATATTTATTAGTGTAATATATCGATTTTGTGCTTGACCTACTTGATGATGATCATGATAAACAATAATTATGAACGGACGAAACAAAAGCAAAATTTTTGTGTAAACAAATGAACGATTTGGAAAATGCGAAGCGCGTTTGCACTTGGAACAGTTTTTCCAGAGCGCGCGCGTTCAAGGATTTAGCGTTTTGCTCACACTTTTTTTTTCTTTCCTTCCTCGGATCTAGATCGAAGCGGAGGACTTTTTCCGGCACGACTCGAACTCGAGAGATTGCTTCGAAACACAACACAGTTTTCCAAATATCCAAGTCTCAAGGATTTTACCCTTTACATATATTTATATACGAAGAAATCCGGGCATGAAGAAACTTTCGCGGTTCGAACTTGTCGAACATGTATTAATTTCTTTAGTTTCACAATTTTACAATAATGCATCTAAATTTGAAGAAAAGATGGAAATTAAGTTTGGAATTTATCTCTAAAATATGCAAAAGTATGGAGAATCAACGACAAAAGACAAAAACAATTGAAAAATGAGCAAAGCTACTATGATTGCACTTGCAAACTAACCTAAAATTGACCTCACACATTTATAATTGATTTTGACGCAATTGTCAAAGGACAAAACAAAAGACTAACAATAAAATGAGCAAAGCTAATTAAATTATCTTAAAATGAAGAAAAGTTTCATTTTCGAATAATTGTGAAAAGACAGAACAAAAGACAAATCAAACAATTGAAAAATGAGCAAAGCTACTAAGATTTGTTGCACGAAATTTCGAAGATGCATAGTTTTTTTTTGTATCTTTCTAGAAGATTTATTTAAATTTCTCCAATTATAAACACACTTAACAGAATGATGTAACTTATGTAATAATATAAAGAGGCTTTCTTTTCAAATCGAATCTAAACGATTTTTAATGATTATGCGAGTTACAAAACCCATCGAAATTCACGAATACAAAAAAAATTCAAGAAGATTACGATTCAAAACATTACATTTACGTTTACGTAAAAATTATCAAACATTTAAATATTTAGTAATTGTTATTTTGTGAAACAAAAGAATTCAAGTGATTCATAACCAACTAAAAATCACTAATTTGATTGAGTTTAGAATAGAATATTTAATAAATATTGGAATTACAATTAGTATTAGCGATTTTAAATGAATTTACTGATTGATAACATTGAAAAACAACGGTGTTTTTATCGAAATTATGAATAATAAGACGGGAAATATCAAGTGACTCGCAAAACTGCAATTTTTCGATTTTTTTTTACGTTACGTAACGAAACAATGCGTGTTTACGTGGAATAGAGTAACATATATATAACAAACGAACAAAAGAAGAGAAGATGAAAATAATTTTTAAAAAAACTTGGTCTAAAGAGGCAAGAAATTGAGTCATTTAATAATAACATGAGCAAACGTGTAATGTGTATTTAAGTAATTCACCAGAAATAATCACAGAATGTGAAGTGAAGAGAAGACACGAGAGATCTCAACCTCAATAGATGTAGTATATATTATAACAAACGTTGCTAAGGCGACAAAACAAAAATTGTTTGAACCTTGCCCAAAAAAAACAAAATAAATGAACAGAGGAAGTCGCGCATTGCAACCGCGTCAATTATAAATTAAATTGTCTTAAAACTCGATTACGGTGTTTGAAAATTCAAATTAAAAAAACAAACTAAAAAAAAAATATGAAACAAAATTAGTTAGATTTTTGGTTCTGCGAAGGTTTCGATGGTAATTATAACAAAGGAATGTTTCTTCTTTTGTCTGTTTTTAATGTTGTTCTTTTGTTCGTTGTTGCTAGACGACGACGAAAAAAATAAATATATAAGATTTTTGTTACGGCGAATCGGTCTAGGAAATAATAATCATAATAATAATAGTTGAAGACTGGTGCAAAAAAAATAAATAAAACACACAGACGACTACGACGAAGAAGGAACAAATTGAGGACGTATCTATGGGTGCTTAGGAGATGACCATTGGTGAAGTGAACACATACACACACACGCACACGCGGACAACGAAAAAAAAAACGAGCACAAAAAGGAGACTAAGAGACCAAGAAGAAGAAGAAGAGAAGAAGAGACGAAGAAGGCTGCGATGATGATGATGGTGGAGGAAGAAGAAGAAGAAGATGTCTCGCGTCCGGTCAGTTTAGAAGTTTAAGTTGTGGTGGAAAAAAAGCGAGGGGTGGGGGAGCCCCGGTCGTCCCGGCGCTATAAAACCACTCCACCACCAAGGAAGACCATCATACACACATCTGGTGGTCTGTGTCTATCTAGTGCCTCTTCGGTCTACAAACAACTCTACTCTACAAACCAACAGCAGCAGCAGCAAGCAACGCGACAACAAATTCGTCCGCACAATTTTTATACAAATTCTCGTTGTGAAACCGACTTAAAAACTCATACAATTACCAGGTAAAGTAACAAAGCAACTTATTTATATATATATATATACACTAAATAATTGAAATTATTGTGCCTCTACTGATACAAGAACAAATCTGATTTGTTTTCCAAGAATTTCCACAATCATATTTCAAATAAACTAAATTTACTCATATTTCCCAAAGTTTCAAACGTTTTCTTTAAATATAACATCTAACAGTTTGTTTCATTCTCAAATTTTAAGCATTTAAATGTTAACTAAACTTTGTCAATTTTCTATTTCAAGAAAATATATAAATTTTCCTAACAGTTTGTTGAAATTATAAATTTGTACAGTATTTGAAGCACAATGTTGTTCAGTTTAAGAAATTCCACATCACATTTCGAATAAACTGAACAAATACGCTGAATTTGTTACAATATTTAGTCAATTTATTAACACGAACCATAAATGTTACTTGAAAATGATTAATGAAACGAAATAATAAATTTGCTGGACAAAAAAATTGCAATAATATTGATTGAGCAAACATATTTTTTTTTTGTTATCACCTGTAAATTTATTACGTCTTTTCGTGCGTAATTCGTATTATTTATTGTTCCTCTTTCATTCGCTCTCATTCCCCCATGTTGACTCTAATGACAGGACTATTTACTAATTGACCGATCGATACGTTTAAACGAAGGAATAATATTTAATGCGGAATGAAGGGAACAAAAAAACAACGAAAAAATAATGATAATAATAATAATAATGCGACGATCCTAAAAATAGTAACAATCGAAACGCGTTTCATGAATTTCTCAGTGGGCCGTGTGCGTGTGTCGTCGATCGGAGGAGGCCGTTTTTTTTATATTTATTTTTCTTCTGTTGTTTTCCCTTCTTCTTCTCCATCAAGAATGAGAGAGAGATGGAGAAGAAACAGAGAGGACGCAACAACTTCCAACATTAAATTAATAAATTGATACGTTGCGCAACGAGGCGCGTACTTTCATAAAGTAAATAATTTCATGGAATGCATTTATAATAATTGCATAACGCGCGCATATAATAAAGTAAGTCGCCACCGTCGCCGCCGCCACCTTCGTTCGGATCAATTCACTACTTTTCAAATTACAACGACAATAGAGAGAGAGAGATAAATAAAAGAACTTTTAAATTGTTATAGTAATTGCTTTCTAAAGTTAAAACAAGGATAATAATTAATATTGAATTAACCGCGATATAAAGAAAAAAAATAATTTTTGGTATCGAGTCGTTAAGTTTTTAACTACAAATGAGTTTCAGAAATATTCCTAATTGCGTTTCGTAATGGTGTGAAAGAGGCGCGAGAAGAATTAAAAGTTCATTAGGAGAATTGATGAAGGAATAGAAAGAGATAGAGAGAAAAATAATAATTACAATGAAGAAGGAAATTGATTGTCCGCGGGGGTTTTTCGTTACGGCGAAATGTTTGTAAACCGCAAAGCTCCTCGTGTTCACAAAATTCCGATAATGTAATTGTAATAAATGTAATTCGTTCGATTCTATAATGCGATGATTAATTCAAGAGTGTAGATGTCACTTTGACAGTGACTTCAAGTCATTTTTATGGGTGATGGTCGCGTTGTTAAATTGTTAACGTTTGCACGTACAGGGAGGATTAGAAGAAGATGCAGATGCAGGTATCTCGAGGTGGCGAGAGGAAAAACTGGTTTCCTGAAAAGAAAAACGACTAATAGGATGAGCAAACTCTAGCGGCGGACTAACGAGACGCGCTTTTATTTGTCTTTTTCACATAACCGGTTGCCAAGTTACCATGCAACCAAGTTGATGATGATGGTTCAACATCCTAAGTTCTTCTTTTTTTTGTTTGTTATTCCATCGCGCGTCTTCCCTTCTGCGGGAAATTCAAGGCTGCAATAGATGATGGCCATTTGCAGGCCGGTTGGCCGTGCCACTGACACTGGACATCAGATGAGGAGAGGTGCGATTATCTAATTTAAAGAGATTTCCGAAATAGTTCATTGGCCTCATCTCACTGTTTGCTCTGCGCCGAATTTAATTCAATTCAAACGGTTCGCTCTTTAATTTTCTCCACTTTTAACTCTCTCTCTCTCTTATATTCATTCAGTGTTGAGAACAAACGAATGAGCGGTCATTGTGTATGTCGTCGAGGCAACGACATCCGGCGCTCTTGATTAATCTACTTCTTTTATTTGATTTCGTTCCCTATTAAAGAATTCGTGTTGGTCGTTTTTCAACTTGCAGAATGAAGCTGTTTCTGGGACTAGTCTTGCTGGCAGCCACCGCCTTCGCCTACCCTCTGTCCGACAACAAGGACGAGGCACCGGCCGTTCCTCTGGTCATCACCGATTACTCTTCCGTTTCCAAGTCCGACGAGATCAAACCTGAGGTGCAGCAGGATTCCAGCCACGAGCACATCCACCATCAAGATTCCGCCGAATCCTCGGAGGAATCTAACGAGGCCAGCTCGGAAGAAGCATCCAAGAAACCAGAACCAGTTGCCGACGATGCCAAGCCGCAGGAGGCCGCCGAACCTCTGAAGGAGGACGTCAAAACCGAGAAGGAACTGAAACCTGAAGAGCCGAAACTTGTGGAGCAAATCGCCGAAGCCAAGCCGGAAGAGAAATTGCCAGAACAACCTAAGGCCATCGAACAACCCAAGGAAGATGTACCAACCCAAAAGGCTCTGCCAATCCCACCGCAAGAGGAAGCTAAACCAACTGAAGCCCCCAAAGCCGAACTCAGCACCGCCGCCGCTCCAACCACCGAAGCCCAGAAGATCTCCGAGGCTCCAGTCACCTTGGCCGCTCAAGCATCCGAGCAGAAACCCGTCGAAGTAAAGCCTGACGCCCCGAAACCAGAAGAGCCAGCCGCCAAAGCCGTCGAGGAGATCATCGCGAGCGCCGACCAGAAGGCCGAAGCCACCGTCGTCGTCGCCGAGGAGGTGAAACCACAAGAAAAGCAACTCGAAGCCGAACCGGCCAAGAAGCCAGAGGAGAAGAAAATCGAAGAACCTCAAGCCCCGAAAGCCGAGGAAATCAAACCAGAAACCGAGCTCCCAGAGAAGAAGGCCAAGGCCGAGGAATTGCCCAAGGAGAACCCAGAGTTGGCCGCCCCGGCTCCAGCCCTCGAAGCAGCCCCAGTCCAAGAGCAACTGAAACTGGAAGCCGAACCGACTAAGATCGAAGCCAAGGAAATCAAAGTAGAGGAACCAAAATCCGAAGAGCCAGAGGCGGCCGCCCCAGCTGCGACCCCAGTCGCTCAACCACAAGAACAGGCACCTCAGCCGGAGGAGAAGAAATTGGAGCAACCCAAGGCAGAGGAGAAGCCCCAAGAACAGGCACCTCAACAACCACAAGCCGAAGAGAAGAAACAACCCGAGGAGGAGAAGCAACCCCAAGCGGGAGCCCCAACAGTCGCAAGCTCCTGAAGCCCCAGAATCCTAATTTAAACCCATCCACAATCCTGACAATCCCCCCACACCCTTTAAATCAAAACAATCCACAAATCCTCAAAAAAAAAAATCGTAATTAAGATCAATCAGAAGAAGAAAACACAAACCTGCGACTGAGTTTTTTAAGAAGAAGAAGACGAAGACGAAGGAAAAACTGAAGCCGAGTACCCCTTGTCCCATTATTCGAACGCATCGAGGAAGAAAGCAGTAGAAGAAAAAAGAAGAAAGGATATAATACTTAAACACGGCGGTTCGAGAATAATTTGGACGATCGGAACTCGGACCTCTGAATTAGTATTTAAACTAATTTAATATTAATCAAGCCCCATTATTATTATTATTATTTTTTTAATAATTTTATTTTATTATTTTCTCTTTTATTTTTATTTTATTTTTTTTCTTATTTATGTGCTCAAATATAGAAACGAAAATGCGAAAAGCGAAAAAAGGAATGATTAAAAACAAAAAGAAAATGTTAAAAATAACGGACAGAAATATTAAAAGATAAACGTTTCGAACGGCGCCGACCGACCGTTCTGGCGTCGCGACGCGTGTAAATTATTATTATTATTTTATAACTAGAGTTATTTAGTATTTTTATTTTGTTTTTATTATTTTTTTAATTAATAATACAAACTATTATTATTATAACTGTACGTGTTTTTCGTCAATTCCTTATTTCTTCCGTTTTTTTTCTTCTTCACTTTTGCAGCGTTCCGGAAATCGAAAAAGACTAACGATTAAACAACAACAACAACAAAAACATTAGAAAACGCAAAACACGCCTAGATTTTGAGCACCGTTTTTCTTTTTGGTTTCCTGGACGACGCGAATAAACAAAAGTGAGAAGAAGACACGTGATGGATAACAATTGATTACGAAGAAAACAAAAGTACACTTATTGTCACACACACACACACAGACTTGGTATATAGCGATTTCGTTAAGTCATTGTATGTATTAAGCGAGGAAAAAGCTTGTATTACAATTTTTTTTTACAAACCGTTTTGTCTTTCATTTGCAATCCCTATTATCCCAAGTGAAACGCAATTATTTTCGATTACGTGCTCGAATTGCGAAAAAAAGAACTTATTCTTAGTTAATTCAGTTTAAAAGCATCATTTATTCTTTGAAATTAAAAAAAAAAAAGATAATTTGATGATTCTCATTGGTCTAAGAATAGAATTGAAAATAAAACCATACTGGAATAAGTATGTAAAGGGTAGATAATTGGACTAAGAAATGTTGTAGTCTTCTGTAGCAAAGGGTATAATTGCTGAGGATGTTGTTGTTGTTGTTGTTATGGTGGATGATGATGAGAATGGAACGAAATCAACGATAATGTCGAGTAATTTAAGTGCAATTTTCTGTAATTTCGCGAAGAGAGCGCTCTTAAAATGCATGGCATCGCAAAAGGAGAGAAGGTGGAAGGAATCTCTTTATACAAAAGGTATTTTCAATCAGGAATCTTCGCGCACATAGAAGAAACACGCACACGTTCGCTCAAGAAGCAACGCGGCGTGTGCACATTTCGTTTGGCGAAGAAGACCTACCGTGCAGCATTCCATGGGTCAAAGACTCAAAGCCCAGCAGGATGCGTGCATTCATGTGTGAGCGCGTCTGCCTCTTCAAACTGCAAAACTAGTTGCAGGAATTGCAGAGCGATGTCCCATCCGCATGTCAGGCATTGCCGAGAAGGGAAAGACAGCAAAAGCCAGCAGCAGCAGCAACATAAAATAAAGGATAAGGAATTTGCATTCGATTATGAGTAATCCGCGAAACATTTAATAGAGGCGAACAACACGAACCTCGCCTTCTCTCCTCCTATCCTATCCTATTCACCGGTCGCGTTTCGAAAGTCTTTTCAAGGGCTTCCTTGCGTAATCCTCCTCTTGAGAGAGAGAGAGCGCGCGCGAAGGAAGCGAACAAAACAACGACGAAACGAAACAAAAGGCATAAGAAGAAAAAATAAACGAACGCAGTAATGACATGAAAGAGAACTGAAAGTTGCGAGACTTACTTGAGCGGTCAGCATCAGGCAGGCCACGACTCCCAGAGACCACCAGTCGACGGCGTGTCCGTACGGCTCTTTCGCCAACACCTCCGGCGCTGAAACAGAAAATAAACTTACCTGAAGACAACAATTGCAATTTTGACAAAATGAGGACAACAATAACAACAACAACTCTCGTCGAATTCATAATCTATTTGAAAACATTGACATTTTGTCTTTAGCAAACATTGTCGTTACGTAAAGTGATAATCAAGTGACAAGAAACAGCGACATTGAAAAAACTTCATTATTTTGTTCTGTCACTGTCATTGCCAATTCACATTCAACTTTGTCTTCGATTTATGACAATAAATTAATAGTGTAAACTGTAAATCTAAGATATTATTATCAATAGAGTTCATAGTAATTTACAATTGCAAATTTATCGAAAAGTAATTATTTTATGACATTTAATGACAGCTGTTTAATCGAAATTGTTGAATTTCGTTTTAAATTTCCAATAAATTACAAAATAAACAAGTTACTTTGTGTCATTTAATGATACTATCAGCAACAGTTTAATAGTTAATTTAGTCAATTCAATTAAAGAATCATCTTATTCACGTAATTAATATTCTTATAATTATATTTTAATATTTGATTGTCACTGTCACTGTCAACATAAACAGCTGTCAGTCAAAGCGTCATGCTAATTTATGTTATTTGCATTTTATTTGATGAAAATTAAAATTACAAATTGTTAAGCTGCGAAAGAAACAAAACAAAATAATCTTCATTTCAACGAAATAATTATAAATATATTTTTTCTTTTTGCAAATTCTATTGAATGAATAATATTATCGGTGTAGATAATTACGATAATTGGAGAAAAATAATACGTTTTGGATCGGAATCGCAATTTGTACGTTTAGAACAATCAGACACGTAAGCAACAAAACAAAATTTGCAATAGAATTTTTCAGTGTGAAAATTGAAAAATAATTGATTATTATTCTCAATATGCAACAATATTAAAAAAAAATGTAATTACTTTATTTGAATTGAATAAAATATTGAACATTTTGGGGTTAATCAAGTTAAACAAAACCATATGTCAATGTCAAGATGAAGTTTGAACTTAGAAATGTTTCATGACATTTGTAAATCATTTCAATTTCTTTCCTTTCTTGAATCAATTACCACCTTCGATATTTAGTTGCAAATTTACTAAAAAAAAACTGAATTTCTTAATAATTTTTCTAATTATCTTTAGTGATTTTCCAAAAGGAACACAATTGTAAAAGATTTTAGCAACTGAGATGTTACAGATATCATATCAATAATCGAAATTTTTGACAATGACAAAGTGAAAACTTTCGAATTGACAAACAAATGATAATCTCTTGATTTATATCAATACTGTATCAAATCGTTATGCAACAAAACGAAACGAACAAGTTTTATTTTTGACATATCGATTTTAGTTGGTTGATGTTAAATAATAAGTGGTGAATTAATCATAATAAACGAAAAATGAAAGATGAAACAAACAAACAAAAAACACACACATATACAACTGGAGAATGAAATGATGAAGGTTGTGTTAACAACAGCTTCGGTGATGGAAGGAGTGTGTCAAAAGGATATCAAAGAATGAAGCAAATCGGAACGTGATAAAATTGTATTTGCTTTTGTATCGCCATCATCATCATCATCGTCAATTACTTCTAACACTCCTCAATTATTTAATCGTAATAGTAGTATTATAAAATAAATAGTCTTATCCACTGCTTAGAATCACAACATTTATATATTTATATTTTCTCGTTAAAACCACTTCCTCTCTCTATTCAACTCTCTTACTCTCCATCCATCCATCCAACCACTCATCCTCCATATTCTCAACCATATTTGTTTTCGAATAAAATATAAATCTTATAGGTCTAATCCAAAAAAATTAAACTCTAAACAAAGAAAAAAAACTAATATTCACAAGTATTTACAACACCTCAACGTTAAGGTTAATTCATTAATATTAATTATATTCATTCTGTGATCACTATAGAGTAGGTACCATAATAATAATATTCATATGCAAATAATGAAAATAAGACGTAACATTTCCTTCATCTTCTTCTAAATAAAAAATGAAACATAGATTTAAGAGAGAAAAAAACTAATTGTTTCTATAGATATATATAAAGTATAAACCCAAAATTAAAAATATATTATAAAGTTTAGAGAAATCGCCGAAGTTATTATATTAATATTTTGTTTTGTTTGCTTATAAAACGACGTTCATAGAAATAAAAACCGAACGAACGCGACAGAACACCTATTTACATCTTCCTTAATCCAATGGCAGTTACACATCGAAGTCGACTGACTCTACTTCTTATTCATCACGAACATCTTCTCTGTTTCATTATAAACTATGATTTTTCAACATCTTCTTCTATAAATCAATTACGTTTACACTCGCCGTTATATCGTTTACAAAGTCGCAAACACCGCTACCGTTTTACACCCATTTACATCCATTTAGTTAGTAACAAAGCAGATTCTTTTTAAGTCAAGTGGTATTAAAATTACAAAAAAAAAAGTAACAAAATTATTATAAATTTTATCAAATAATTAATAAGAGATTCGTAAACGATAGATTTAAAAGAAAGAAAAAAAAGTAAGCGCAGTGTTCTTTTCTTCTTTAGTCTAATCTATTACCACTTTCTTACACAACATCAACTAGTGAGTTTTTTTTTGCTTTTCTCGTCATTTTTTCCTGCCTCGCCTACTAAAATATATATAATATATGTATCTCTTTTTTCTTTTGTTTGTTTGTTTGTTTTAAATATATATCTCTCTCATTAATATAAATTTGTAGACTCGATTTTGTTTTGTTGGTTCCGTTGGTGCCGCCCGCGGAACTCAAAGCCAATTAAGCCGAATTTGTACACAAACAAAAGAGAAACGAATCGATTACTTAAAAATATGTGTTGTCAATACGAAATTTAAAAAAAAAAAGAAAACGGAACTATGAGATAAATCGTTTTGGTGTTGGCGCGCGCTTAAATGGAACTAATATCAATACAATTAAATAATTAAGAGCTAATGAGATAAAGAACAAACAGAAATATTAATTTAAAAAAAAAAACTAATGAAGTGCGATTAAGATATACACGCAGTAGTAAGAAAATGCTTGGCTAGAATTAAGAAACTAAGCACCCGGGTGGATAGGATTATTATTATTCACATGGCCTTGATCAGCTTCTTCATGGTGTTGGTGATCGAGGAGGAGGCGGACTGGCCGGAGACGTAGTTCAGCTTGAAGAGGTAGGGCTGCACGTCCACGTAGGAGGTGTCGAAGATCAGACCGAGCTCCGATTGGTTCGGCATCTTCGGAAGGTATTCGTGCCTGTTCATCACCTCGGTGATGTACAGGACTTTCTCGGTGAGCAGATCGCCGACCTTCTCGCGACATACCAGCCTCTCGTCCTCGTTCTGCAGGGAGAGCAACTCCAGACGGACTGTCCACACCTCCCACGGGATGCACTCCTGCTGGCCAAACCATTTGGCCGGCTTCTTCTGGAAGAACTCGAGGCTGATCTGGCCGATGCCCGTACCTTCGTTCCCCCTCAGCTGCTCCGAGAAGCACGAGATCTCCCTGCGTAGGTTCAGGTCCAAAGCGCGCGACGTGCAGCATACGTAAGTCAAATCGATAAAATCACAATCCACGTCCGTGTATCCGAGCGTTCCCACCGAGTAGTTACCCTCGCCCGTGTAAAAGAACTTCCCGAGGGACCGGTGGAACAGCACGGTGTGGAAGATGCTGGCCACCGCCTCATCCACCTGTCTACCTTCCATCGCCAACTCGAAAATCTGAGTTCTCGCGTTCATCCTGACTTATATACTAACTTAGATATATATATAATATATGAATATAAAGAGAAAACAACAACAATATCGTGTGCGCTTAATTTCCTCAGACGTCACTCAAAAGGAGTATTTGTACCTGTTTTTTTTGTTTTGTTGTAGGCGAATTAGTCTTGTAAAATGTAATCACTCAGTTGAATCGACAACGTAAAGCCAAAATCAAAAATCACAGCGTAAAAAGAAAAAGAGAGACCTGAGAGTGAGCGAAATCAATGAAAAGTTTAGCGTGTACGTGTGTCGTGTATGTTGTTTTAAGTGTGCAGTGGAAAAACTCAAAAGTTTGTAGTTTGTTTGTTGTTGTTCTTTTTTTGTTTGTTGGTTCAATCAAATCAGCATACCAATGTACTTGAGTGTCCCGCAAACTGTTTTCGTCCTGTTGCCGTACGGCAACCACTTGGATAAACCGAAGTCAGTCAACTGCACATTCCCTTCGTTGTCAAGCAGTATATTCTCCGGTTTCAAGTCACGATAAATCACGCCCGCGTTGTGTAGGAAATCTGCAATTAGAGAGCAAACGGAGACGATTGAAGCGTCGATTAGTAAAGTTGCGAAGTGAGTCCCGTGTGCAGGAAGGTAGCGGTTTTTCGATCGCGATCTCCTCCAAAGTACCTAAGACTATCGCCAGCTGGGCCACGTACAACTGCACCACGGCTAACGGCAGGATTGCGCAATTCTTCAGCAGCTGATGGAGCTCTCCGCCGGACACGAAGTCGGTAACTGAAACGCAAAATCCATCAACTACTAATACTACCAAATTCAGAGAACGACGCAATTCATTGAGACGTGCACGAGAATAACAATAAAGAGAGTATGAAAATAAAGAGAATATTCATTGAAAAACATGTTGACAATACGCAAATTATTGAGGTATATATAAGCTAATAACATTCCGTAATTGCCATTTACAAATAATATCGTCAGTGTTTATATATTTACCAATGTAGAGACGCTTCTTGCTCTGCCAATTGAACGGACAGTTCACTACGAACGTGTGGTGACCACAGGCCTTCTGAATCTGCACCTCGTCTTTCACTTGCTGGACGGCGTTGTCCTTAAAGACCTGCAGAAATGATCAAATGGTGAATGTTCCGAACTGCAGTGCCGTTAAGTCTGGACAAGTTTAACGTTCTCAGGCAAGGGACACATGCAATGGATGAACACTGATAACAAATTCACCCGCCAGGGTTGCGGTGCGTGAAAGCGTATACCTAAACCCAACTGGTCACGCTCTTCCTCCCCCTCCGAAAACCCCCGCAACGCTTCTAAATTCTAAAGTAGGTAGAGATTTTCCATGAACCAGAACACACACAAAAAAAAATGGTGGAAACTTTCTTCCCAGACCAGTTTTTTTTTTATACCTGAAATCGCCTAGCTGCAACACATCTCAGCTTTTCCAAAGTCTAAATATAACCGAGCGTGACGTAACGCTTCGCGAAATTAACACTAATTTGTTATCATTTCCTTCTTCAAACATGATTAAATATTATTTTTGGATCTCCGACAATGTTGATGTTTCTCAGCTTACGAATCTTGAGCAACGCGAGTAATGCAAAGTTTATGAAACTTTATGTATTTTCATTGTAAGAAAATCTCATGGAAAATATGGGTTACTTAAGTTTCTCTGCTTTTTTTAGTAATCTAACATAGTGAAGTAATATAAGTAATTATATCATTTTATAAAATCTAGGCAAAAAAGCAATTAATGAAAATTAACTGAATATATATTGTTAATGACTTGCAAATTAAATTAGAGTTAATTTATGTTTGGTAGTATGGCTTGAACAAAGGCATTTGTCTGAAAATACTTACTTTATATTTAGAAAGAACTTTGAGTGCATACAAAGAACCAGCCTGCTTGACTTTGTACACCTGCCCAAAGGCGCCCTGTGCAACCTCCTCGAGAAAACTGAACTCTGTGTCCCTTGTTGGACAATGGGCTGGGAACACTGGCAGGAAGCTGGACTCTATGTGCGCAGAGGGCCAACAATCTCTGCTAGACTGGTAAGTCCTCGCAATGGCTTTCCCACTAAAAAACAAAAACAAATAACATTACATGAAGACAACAAAGGATTCAAAGCACTGATCATCCTACCTCTTGGTGGAGTTTTGCCTGCGGAAGCTGAAGCCGGAAGTGAAGCTGTTCAAACTTTGGAGGGACCTCTGTGAGTGGCTGATCTGGAAAGATTAGGGCACGTGTTGTAATCGCATAGATGACGCATTAACTTTTATTTACAATCGCAAAATTCCGCGTGTGAGGTTAGGGTCATTATTATTATTTTGCAAGCTGCTCTCACACTCACTTGATTGTTATCGAATCCGTGGTGATGGTGATGGTGCTGTTGATCCCGATGGATCCCGTCCTCCGAACTGTACGATTTGCTCACGCTCGACTTGCTGCTATTGCTGTTGCCCATTAAACTTGTTGTCTTCACTGCAGGACTCGAACGCGACGACAACAACGAGACGCGGACACCTAAGGCTCATCGCTGCTGCGACGACCTCCACAACAACAACAACAACAAAAAAACACAAAATAATAATAATCTGGGATGCGAGGGGAACCTTTGTCGTCGTCGTCGTTGTTGTTGATTGTGTGTGTGTATGTGTATGTATTGGTGTGTGTCAGTCAGTTGATGTCAATGTGTATGAGTGTGTGTTGTTTGTTGGCTCGACAACTGTCATCATCATCATCGCCACCACTATTTTATCCACACGTACACTTGCTCGTATTTTCATATACGTACAACAAGAAGCGCACACACGTATGTGTAAATATTTACGAGCACATCAATCGAGAACCAATCAGGATCGCAGCAGGTCGACCGGGCAACAACTTGCCAAGATTCGATGAAATCCACTTGCTCCTCCGTTACGAAGAGAACACAATAATGATGAATTGCTCATAATAGAAAAAATCTATAAATAACAATAATTAAGCGTTGATCATGGTCGTCAATAGGGATAAAACAAATTCGACTATGACGTTCCGACATTTGTTCATTCAATCGAGGGTTGCTATGACGAATTCCTTCAAAACATATGGGAAATAACTTCTAATTAACAACATGTCGAAAATCCTATTTGCACATGCAACCACACGTGCAAAATCACAATTCAAATAATAATTCATATTCATTATTGCTTAACTAAATCTCAAATCAGTTTGCATTAAGAAGATATATTCTACTTAAAGATTTACTATTTTCAACTATTATGTTCCTTTTGAATGGCTATTTCCTAAGAAATAAGAATACTAGTTTTCTTTTGTTGTTGAGATTAAAGCTTCAACATCCATTTTACAACCATATTTCTTTCCACGAAACTGAAATGGTAAGATTCTAGTAACTTTGAGGAAGGTAACTATTGTATTTCTTCCTAGAGGGAAAGAAGCAGGAGGAAGAAAAAAAAAACTATTATATTTTTAACTTCTAAGTACTTTATAAATAGTTTTAAAATAATTTGGTACTTAAGTTAAATGTTAAAAAATAAGTTTTTAATTATAAATAATTAAGGTGATATTATATAAAATTTCTTTATCTTCAGAGTTGGATGTAGTACAATTATGTAGGTATTTGGGACATGGAATATATGAATTATTGATTATTAAAATTGCATATCTTCAGTGAATAGTTAGCGATGAATATGCAACCAATGAAACGTGGAACGAAACAATGACGTCTCAGCCACTACGAAGAACAGAGATAGTGATTATAAAAATGGATCCTTGGGCAACAACAGGCAACACAGAAACCAGTCAAGAGGTCTGCTCCAGTTTCGAAGACAATTTCAAGCCCGAAACTCCGCACCTGCCCGATTCCGATCAGTACCTGGCGACACTCGGTAATTACAAATTACTTGGCAATCGAATCGACTCGAATATCACTATAACAACAATAACAAAAAGCAAATCGTTTTCTTTGCCTTAATACGTGTATGTGTTTTTTTTCTTCTTTTGTTTCCTCAGAATCGAAATTGCAGAAGATCAAGAACGACCCCGACATACTGAAGCAGCTCGCCGAGAAAAAGGAGTCTTGCATGCAGCAGCTGATCAGCGGTGAAGCGCTCGAAGAGGAATTTCTGGAGACGCCAGTGAATTACGGGTCGATCCTGAGGAACATCGCGCCCGACCGTATTCCAATCAATCAAGGTGAAATCGTCGAACTGCTCAAGGCCGACCATCTGAACGAGAAAGATGTTTAACTTGGAGAAGTCGACGCTCGCCGTCGTCACCGGCGCCTCGCAAGGCATCGGACGCACCATAGCCCTCTCGATCGCCGAAAAAGTCAAGAATCTCACGATCATTTTGATCGCCCGAAACGAGGAGGCTCTGAAACAAACGAAACGGCTGATCGAGAAGGCGAACGGCGGCGCCGAAGTGAAGATCTACGCACGCGATCTGTCTTCCATCGAAATCGACGAGTGCACGAGTATCATGAAAGAGAACGTCAAGGAATTCGAGAACGGTGTAATATTCCACAACGCAGGTTCGCTCGGCTGCCTTGATAGAACCATAAACTTGACAGATACGAAAGTGTGGAAGCAGTTCTTCCACCTGAACGTCATTTCAGCGAGTCTGCTGAACTCCTCCTTCATCCACGAGATGAGGTACAACGCAAAGAATCTGTTTGTAGTCAATATAAGCTCGTTGTGCGGCATCCAGGCTTTCAAGAATATGGCTATGTATGGTGCTGGCAAGGCAGCAAGAAACTTGTTTTTCAAAGTATTAGCTGAAGAGGAAACGGATGTGAAGGTGCTGAACTATTGCCCTGGCCCAGTGGATACGAACATGGTCACTCAGGTCATTGGAGATGTGAAGGATTCCGAGGTCAGGAGCATGTTCAAGGGAATGCGTGACAACAAGACCATCCTATCCACTGAGGTTACTGTTGATAAACTGTTGGGAATATTGCAGGCAGGAGATTACAAATCGGGTGATGTCATCGATTTCTATGATAGGATTTAAAGGACAGCATTTTACTTTCTTCTTAATATATATATGTATACACTTATATGAAATGGTGTTGGCTGATCTTTATAAATTTAAATTTTTATTAATGTTATTTTTTATGTATTATAATTAGAACTAGTGATTAATATACAAGAGTATATCTGACTACTGATCTTTCACTCTAATTTAAATACAACCTGGGTAGGGATCGGTGCGGTTCTTCCTTAGAACAAATTGGATCTTTCTGTCCATATCCTCGTTGTAGATGGATTTGCACTTCTCATAGTTTATCCGTCTCCTGAATTGGAAAGGTTTCTCGTAATACCGCGTCCTTCTGAATTGATCCAAGATACCTTCCCTACCCAGAATCCTGTTCAGCACTTTGCAGGCGGCTTCGACGTCGTTTTTTTGGACGAAAACTGTCCTCGCTATGAAACTTGCGTGTCTCATCTTGAAAGAAAAGATTTAAACATAACCTTAAATTAATGTGCAAAAACAATATAGAAGCGTTTAGATTAAACTAATTGAAAACAAAATTAAATTATATAAAATAATTATTCTTACTTTGTTAAAGTAAATAAATAGTGTATTAATAAGTCAATAATGTAACTTTAGTTTAACCTAGAAAACTAATATTTTTTATTCATTTATCTGAATTTTAGGCAACTTTACATACAAATTTTCTATAATTAATTTAAAGTTATTATTCAATAAAATCAGTTGGGTGTAATACACAGTAATACATGTTGTTTATGCATAAGTTATCATTTTATTGTTTTAAAGTATTTGTGAAGAACTTTAAATAATTATTAATATGTTAATTTAACTGTAAGCATATTACATTAATATTAATGTTTTCTTTATTAAAAATAATTGAAATTTGTTAATTTAAATAAGTTTTTATGTAGTATTAAGTTTAAAGTGATTTTGGTTGCCTGGTTCAAATTAATCTAATGGAGAGTGTGAATGAGTAACTGCTATTGGTGAATGAAACTGTTACGTCACGAGTTCCCCCCAAATGCCAACACAATGGGAAAAAAGTTGAGCCAAACATCAAAAATCAGCTGTCAAAGATTTCTGATGGCACCGATTTCCTGATGCGATGGAAGAACTGCACCTCTCCGAAGCGCTGCAACGTTACTTTTGCGACCTCTTCGTCTGCTGCGACGACGAGAAGTCCGGGAAGGTCAACGTTAACAAATTGTTGGACATAATCAAGTCTGGATGTATCCCAGAAGAGGTTATAGATAAGGTAATTAGAGACATTTGTTTATGTTTATGGATTGCCTTGAGTGCATCCTGCTGTTAGTCATCACCATGGATATCAAATGTGCGTTGCAGGTTGTATTCATGTGAGTGTATATATATTATGTTTACTTTACAGATTGCTGAGATATGTTGGTCACAAACAACAAATTATTTGAATCGGAAGCAGTTCTGCTATGCCCTGAAATTGGTTGCAGCCCATCTGGTCAATATCCCTGTCACATCTGAGGTGCTAGGAATATACATGGATGGTCCACTGCCCAGATTCAATTGGCCCCAGATTGAGGGCCAATCAGATCTAATCGAATTGAGAAGTGCCGATTATAGGGAACATGTTGATCCAGTCAGCACAGATTCAGAGGTGGACAGTGAGACTTTGAGCATTGGAAGGAATGGCAGCCCATCGAGCACTGCATCTGACAGTCCAACACCAACAAACAGTGTGCAAGATCGCAGTTGGGCTATCAGTGGGACATGGCAAGGACTTGTCTCTGAAGAACAAAGACAGCTATTAGGTATGAACTAAGCACGTTTGAGAGGGATGTGATTTTAATGGAGAATATTTTAGGGACTGAGGAGGAATCCTCTGATAGACACAGTAGTGAGGAAGATACGGAGGTATCGAACGAAGTATGGACAATAACATCGGAGCAGAAGGAGTATTACACGGCGCAGTTCAGATCGCTGCAAGCGGATACGAACGCCCTGTTGGCGGGTCCGATTGCTCGAATGTTCTTCGAGAAGTCTCGTCTTCCGGTGCAAGAGCTTCGTAAAATCTGGCAACTAGCCGATGTGACGAAGGACGGTGCTCTGAGCTTGGAGGAGTTCAATACTGCTATGCACTTGGTGGTGCTCAGGAGGAACCACATCGAATTACCGGACGTGCTGCCAATGCAGCTGATTCCGGGCAACGAAACCCCCATGTCGGTAACCCCCGAAACAGAGCCCATTCTGAGTCCCCAGACGAAGGACACCGCCAAAGAGTGGACGAAGTTCTTCGAGAGTCCGACGAACAGCGTCTCTTCGCCAGGACCGAAACCAGTCAATTTCGATTTCCAGCAAGGAGCGGTGGACAAGGATCCGAAGATCCTGCATCCCGTGGCGCTGCGCCTGACGCCGGAAGTGTTGGCCGCACAAGCGGAAGATGATGACGGGAACAGTCCGAAGAAGTTTCTCGAGAATTCCCAACAGATCACCGCCATCCAGAGGCCGCAACCTAAGAAGTTCAATTTGCCGGGCCCCGGTGCTATACCTCCGCCGCCCCCACCAAACAGCACGAACATCGCCGAAGATGGTCCGGTAAGTCTGCCCGCATTCCCTCCGCCCAAGAAGGAGAAACCTCCGCCGCCACCACCCAGGCCCTTCAAGACGCACGGCAGAAGTTCTAGCTTGGACTTGAATCGTCTCAACAAGAACCTCGCGCCTCCGTCCGTGCCGCCCAGGGTCAGTCCGAACGTGCAGCAGAGCGCCAAGAAGCTCGTAAACCAAAAATCCGAAGGCGATTGCGGCGCGAAGGCGAACGAGGGTGAGTTCGCGAATTTCGAACAGTTCGAGAAGTACGAGAACGTGACGGACGAGATATTCCCGGGAGATCAGTACGAGGCGGAAAGGAAGAAACTCTTTGCTCAGTTCTCCGTGCAGGATGGTGGAGGTGTCAGTGTAGGCGCGGATGCGACGGACGCCGCTCCCCGCAAGCACGGCGCGTTCGAGGTCTACAGGAAACCTACACCCAAGAGCAGAGACAGTCCGGCCAACGTCGAGGAGAAGGCTAAATTCGATCTGTTCATGCAGCTGCAGGATCAGAACACGGTGCTGCTTCGGCTATGCCAGGAACTGAGCCAAGAGTTGGTCGAAGTCAAGGAGGCTAAGGTGGCGTTGAAGGTGATGCTGGAGAAACAGTTGAACGGAGGAGGGTAGTCTTCACAACAATCGAGTAACAATTGCCTATGATAATAATGCGCTTAACATCTACTATTTAATTCCTTAATAACGAATATGGTTCTTAGCGATATTAGCAACATCTCCCATTAATTTTTGGGGGGGCGAATTAACGCATTTCTTTACAACAAAACAAGTTTTAAAACTTTCTTTCTCACCGCGTAAATACATACTTGAATATGTATTATATGCGGAGAGAAAGAATGAAGATATAGAAACAGAGAAAGGGAGAGAGAGAGAAAGTTATATACGTAGCAATAATAATGATTCCCCGTATATATATGCAGGGTGATTCGCGTCCTGAAAATCCTTCTCCGAGGACCAATTAGTTTTTGCAATAAGATTAACCAAAGTTCACCAAAACCATTCACAGATCTCAAATTCCAATAACAGTTCAACGAGGCGCCAATCTCCCTGTGTGTAGCTTTAATTATAATAACATACACAAACAAACAAACAAAAAAACAAAAACCTGTCGTAAACATTGGCAACTATCACACAAAATGCTTCAGTTCAATCGGATTTCCTTATTATTATCATCATTATTTTGTTTTCTTAATCAAAGGAACGAACGCGAAGGTGCGCGAATTCATTTCGCCGAGGATGCTTTAAAATTTACATATTCTTTTGAAAACCGTTTTGTACATAGTGATATATATTATATTATAAATGATAGACAGAGAGATGCAGATCGATTTTATTATACATTTTTCTATTATAATTATGTTTTTATTCTCGATTCGATTACCGCAAATTCGTCCAGTTCGGAATTCGCACTGTTTTATGTTTTTTTTTCCTTCTATTTTGTATTTTACATATTTTCTCCACTATGTTCTGTGCTAGTTTCTAAAACTACTGATCGATTACTTTTGTTATATGAAGATTGTTGTAGCCGTTGGAGGGGAAATAAATGTATTTATCTAAGAAAGAAAGAAAACAAAAACAAAACGCGAGACAACAAAATCGTCGATGATTTTGATCACGTCTGTAGACGTCGAAACGTAAACCATTAAAATACGTTGAAGGAGTATTTAAGAGAAAAGAAAGAGTTTATATTAGCGAAGAGATTCTCAAATTCCGTTTGTCATTATTTTTTTCTTCTTGTTCTCTTCGATTTTATTTTATAAACAATTATGTTTGAAAATACATTGAATAAAAAGAAATACACTATTACATAATTCTAGGGAATTTTGAATTTCATTAAATAATCTCTTGTTAATTGATTTAGATGTTCAACGAGGAATAAATATGCTTAAATCTAAGTTTAAAGGTATTTTTTTAAAACAAAAATAATTATTTAGTTTTATTTTGACTTAGATCTATAATACAATGATTAAATTTGTTATAGGAATTTGAATCTTAAGATTTATCAAGTTCCGGAGGAAGTGTGAAAAAAAGTCATGGTCGTCATGGAGACTATCAACGACTTCTATAATTAATATCCAATAGGGATTTAAGAGGTGCTCCAGAGGGAATGCCAGGTCTGCCTGGTAAACCAGGTAATGATGATGTTGATGGACTGAAAGGACATCCAGGTGTCAAAGGTGATAAAGGCGCGCAACGACCGGCATAAATAATGTTTCATATACGATGTATACGAAGTTGAATTTTCAAAGAAATTAGTTAATGAATAGAAAGAACATCTCGTCCACCGTAACCCATTTAAAAAAATAGTGGTAAGTTTTAATTAACTTAATTGATAATTTATAAAAAATGCAAATTTTCGTATAAATATCTTTCAAGAAAATAATAATGTAGTGTAAATTTGGTTGCATACGTTTCATTTTTATCTGAAGTCCAATAAGCATTAATGGTAAACATTGATTAATATTGAATTTCTTGCGCCATCTATTATCGGCATTATTTGAAATATATTTTTATTGGATTATTGCAAAAATATATTGATTTAATCAATATTTGAATTTTAAAAGTTCGTTAATTATCTTATGATTAATTTTGAATTGTTCTGTTGGTAACGCAGCGCCATCTGGTGTTATTTTAGTGTTTCTTGTATGGCGTTGCAGAGTTCTGCAGTGTTAATATTATTGCTATGCATCTACCAATAAAAACCGTTAGAAGCCGAATGGTGATAATGAATTGTGTTTTGGATGAGTTAATCTATGATGGAAAGATAACGTGGTTAAGGTTTGTTAACCTTGTGAACAAAAAAAAAGAAAGAAGAAAATTGGTTAATGAAATTCATTATGTAAGTTTTTTAATTACAGACGTTATTTAAATAATTATTCGTACTTTCGTAGAGTGGAAGAGCGCATGTGCTTTACAAACAACCAATAAGATTCGTGCAGTGGTGGTGCTCTGTTCATTTGTCGGCAGTTGTCGGGTGGAAAACTGCAGAAGAGGCAGAAGAGAAGAGAGGTGAGCGCGCGCGCCTGCTTTTCGCTCTGTGTGAGTGCGTGTGTGGCGTGTTATTTATTTGCGATTTTCCGCTGCAAATGCAAATCTCTTAGCGTATTGATTTCCATTTTCGCGACAGGTGAGAGGAGACGAATCGATTGCGGCCCCATCGACGTTCCGTTCCATTCAGATATAGGGAGCGAATCGAATACGAATTGCGACTCGTCGAAAGCAGTCTGCACGTCTCGTCGGATGACGGCCGCTTACTTGGATCACAGAGGGTCTTTCCATCAACAATCGAGACTGCCGTGGGACCGATGTGGATAGGACTGCAGCTGAGCTCTTCCTGACCGTCGACGCTGGGCCACAACATCTCGACCTGCTGCTCTCTTTGAGGTTAGGTTCTGATTAACCTTTTCCACAAACTTTCCACCATTAGCGCTAAACTTTTTCCTCGCCTGTTCTATTTTTAAAATTTAAAGAGACTGCACACTTAATTGGTCATTCGAGCACCGCGCATCGTTCCAATCAATACGTCCAAGATCTCTCCATAAATCAACAACCAGAATCTTCTAAAAAATCATTCAACACATTAAAATTTTGTTCAAAATCAAAGAAATATTTCATTATTTCCATTAATTAGCACTGATATTTCAAAAAAAGTGGAACTTGAATCGAGTGATGTTATTGCAATGATTTGGATGCAATTCAATTTCGAAATCAATGATTGTAAGATTTACTATGTATATAATTAATCAAATTCTATTACTAGTCATACTATTTTTATTAATCCTTCTGATGCCAAGTATGTGCCATACAAGATAAAAGTCAAAGATACAAATTCCACTTGCACTTGTTGCAGCCCACTTGTGATTTCTTAACTGCTACTCTAGAGAATCCGATTTTGCTTGTACAGTTGTTATTTGTTTCTCGCTTCAATTGAGCTGCCGTAATTAATATACATCTGCTGCATATTGTGTTGCCAGTGAAAAGTGAGACGTCTCCAGTTATCATCATGTTTACTTAATAGTTGTAGTATTTGCTTTTGAAGATGCTGGATTCTTAGTATTTACAATTATTTATTTGAAACGCTGTCACAAATGTAACAGTTCAAATATTTGTTTACTTGATAATGATAAAAAAAAATAATGAGCATTTGTCATTTACTTAGAATGTTGTGGGATATGTCCATCAAAATTATTTTTCAACTAAGGAATTAGCGTTGTCCGCGTGTGGATTCGTTCGTGGTGAATGATTGTGTTTGCGTTGATCGTGATTTTCTAATTTTGTTTTTTTAAATTTATTTTACAGGCATGAGATTGGGGGTGAGCGTAGTGAGATAATGGCAGAGTGCAATGTGTCACTTCCATTTCAATGCGTGAAGCCGGATTGTAAGTACTCGTATGCAAGCTGGTGCCCGACGTGCGAAAAGGAATCGCCAAGGAGGAGAACGAAGAGCGAAACTTACGAGCCCTGCAAGAGGAAGGGCAAGGAGATGAAAACGTTTACCCCGAAGAAATTCGATAAGCATAGGGGATACGAAAACATGGATCTCGAATACGATTCCAAAGATTTGAGGATGATGGAGAGGGTGCGCACCAATCTGTGCGAGCTTCCGACCAGTTACATCACGAACAACGTGAACAAGAACGGAGAGTATTTGGATATGGATTACGATGGTTTCTGTGATCGGAAGCACTACGAGGAGAAGCCTTACAAGCAGACCAACTACAACGGCATCACCAAATGCATGCTCGTCGAGTCGAAGGTGAAAAGCAAACGATCGCCACCACCAAATCCGGCCAAGAGTTCGCTATCGCCACCGGTGACGAGCAACAAAAGTCCTTTATGCACTAAGCCCCATCATCATCTTAGCCAAAATTCCATACTGTGTTCGAAGGCTTCCACCAGTCCCAGTTCCAATTCGCCGCAAACACTAAACCCTCCAGCAACGAACCAATCACCACTAGCGTCTTCGCCTAAACTAGGCTCTTCACCCTCTTCCTCCCCGAAGTACCGACTCGAAAACAACGATATCCGTCCCATCTTCGAGACTTGCACCTTCTTCGATAAGCAGATCGATCCTGTCCAAATCAAAGAGCGCTACGCCAAAGAACTCGAGGTGCTGCGCGAGAAGCTGCGAGATCTTCGCAGCAACAGATACAATCCCGCCAATCCTCCAATGACCATCCAGAACTTGGACGTGCAACCAAAGCCACCGGCACCGGAAGTGAAGGTCATCGAGATCGTGCGAAGGCCGCGCATCGACGTCGTCGACTCGAAGAGCGAAACCAAACGTAACTGCCGAATTTCCGTGAAGACGAAAGGTAAATTCGCCGCCCTCAGAAGTGCCAAGTTGAGGGCCAGAACACCTAGGACCCAGCAGTCTTTGGAATCGGATAGCAGCGATCTCGAAGGCAGCGAAAAGGAGGAGTGCGATGAGGTCAACAGCGACGTACACGAGACCTCGCACGAGACCGGATTCGAGAAACCTCTGGTGCTGAAAACGGAGACTGATTCTTCGCCGCCGAAAGGTTTGCCGTCGTTGTTGCCAATTATAAATATTTACATTAATCAAGTTTTTTACTTGTAGATTCCGGCGATGCGCCCTCCTGGCCGCTCAGGGACAGCCTGTTTCCGAACATTCCGCCCTACATAAAGTTCAATCGGCACGACGACGCGCCAAACAAGCTGCCAGGAGGAGGACACAGATTCCTCAAATGGAAGCTCAGCACGATAACGCCTATCGTGGTGAGGAAGACGCTGACCAACACCGGCTTCCGTTTGGTGCGAAGTGAGTTCACCCGAGGTATCCGTCCCTTTTTTATATCCCATCCTTATACCCCAAACCTGAGCTTTTTCAAAAACCTTTACACCCTAAATGGATTTTAAAAGCACAGCTGTTGGGTTTATCCTTCATAAAATTCAATTTCTGATTGATGTTGTCGCGAGATAAATCATTTATAATTCAAAAATGGATTTCCAACGTGAAGATCCTATCATTCTTGGTCGGTTGTTGATTACATTAATTGATTAAACAAGACGAGAATGCAGAGTAATTGTGAAGATGTGCCGCCCTTAAATGTTTCCAACAAATTCTATTATATTTTGTATATGAAATGTTAACATGACTTTTATTTTTTAAATTCAGAATCCAACGAATGGCTGGGTACGTGGGGAAAGCACATGAAATCGCCGATGTTCAGAACGCTGAAGAGCAGTCAAAAGTTGAACCATTTTGCCGGCACTTTCCAACTAGGAAGGAAAGATAGACTGTGGAGGAACCTGCACCGTCTGATGTTGACCCACGGAGGCAAAGAGTATTTTTTTATGAAAAAAACCTCGACGTCGCTCTTTTCACACACAGTTTACGTTTTGTTACTAGGTTTGGTATTATTCCGCAGACGTACGTGCTGCCCCACGATCTTAGACACCTGAAGCAGCAGTGGGAGTTCAAAGATGGCAGTGGCGGAGAGAAATGGATCATCAAGCCGCCGGCTTCCGCCCGAGGCGTCGGCATAAAGGTGATCAACAAGTGGTCTCAGCTTCCTAAGGCCAGTTCACTCATCGTGCAGCGGTACATCGCCGATCCCTACCTCATCAACGGCAGCAAATTCGATCTCAGGCTGTACGTTCTGGCCACCAGCTTCAACCCGCTCCGCATCTACCTCTACCCGGAAGGACTGGTCAGATTTGCAAGCGGTAAGTGCTCATCCAGGTTCTGCAGCAAACAGGTTAATGGTTAATTTATATTCTTCCGTCATCAGTGAAGTACAGCGACGACGATAAGGATCTGAAAGACAGATACATGCATCTAACGAACTACAGCATCAACAAATTGTCCAGCCAATATACAGCTAACGAGGACGCGAACTCGTGCCAGGGACATAAATGGTAAGTTTATTGTAATTTCTTACAACAAGAGATGAATTATGAAATTTGCGGTGTTTTCAGGACGCTATCAAAACTGTGGGAGTATATGGAAATTAAGGGCATCGACACGAAGGAACTGTGGACCAATTTGAAGCATCTCGTTATAAAAACGATGATCTCGGGGGAATCGCCGATCACGCAGCTGTGCGGTGAAAACGTGCAGAGTCGCTACAACTGCTACGAGCTGTTCGGCGTCGACGTTTTATTGGATTCGAGGCTGAAACCGTGGCTGCTGGAGGTGAACATCTCGCCGAGCTTGCACAGCACGTCGCCTTTGGATTTGCACGTGAAAGGACCGCTGGTGCAGACGCTCTTCAACCTGGCCCAATTCCATCTGCCCTCGAAGCTGTCGAAAACGGACACATGTCCACCGTGCTACGACCCGAGGATATACACGACCACACTGCTGAAGAAGGAATCCACTAAGCATAATCTGTTCTCGCAGACGGAGAAACGACAGGATTATCTGGAGGACATCCTCGATAACCTAACAGGCGATGATGTGCGCTACCTCACGCAAGCCGAGGACGAGTTCGTGGTTAAAGGACAATTCGAACGCATCTTCCCCACCAGCAAGAGCTACACCTACCTCGATTTCATGCCACCCAGATACTACAATCGCTTATTCGACGCATGGGAGACGAAGTACGAGAATAACAGAAAAGAAGGTAAATCAAGCAAATTTCCAATTACATATTGTAATTGCTAATTCAATTACCTTACGTCCCTCAGGTATTGCGAGATTGAAAGTGCTATGCTCTAAACGGGTGCACCTGAAGATTGCTCCGGCCACCACCTCTAGTAAGGTAAGCCTTCGCAACATTGATCCCTCATTAATATTAATGGTTTTCGTTTACTCTTACGTACTCTATGAATTCATTCTCTTCTATCTACAATAATTCTTCACGATTATTAATTACGTTCTCATTTATTTACTTTTTTTTATGATTTTCTTCATTTAGACGTTTATCGAAGAAATTCAGCGAATTATTGGTTTGACCATGTAGGGATATTTTTTTACTTCAAATTTCATTTATTAATATAACAGTGGATTTAAAAAAAAAAGAGAATTTTAATTTTTTTTTGTAAATGTAAACTTTCTAAACGATTGAGTAAAACGTTAATTATATATATACATATACTTTTGATTTGTTACAATTTTTCTGTACTTGTATACTTTTTTTCTGTGCAAATACAAGACGACGGATGATGAGAGTGTTTTCTCGTAAATATAAATATATAAATGTTTGTTTGTTTGTTTTGTTTTGTTTTATTGTCGCCTCGGAGCGGACGCGCCTTCGCCTTGTATTCGCACACGACAAATGTTTATTGTTTTGTATTGTCTGTTACTACCTGTGAATTATCATATTTTTTGTTGACATTCTGTTATTGTCAAGGCGAGAAATTTCATTTTGGCGACGCTCCGAAGCGTCTATTCCCAATGTCGGAGTAAGTCGTAGGACTAAATGTGCAAGAAAAGAATTAATAATAATAATAATAATTAAAGAAGAAAAAAAAGAAAACAAACTTACTTGAGGCAAATAAACCGAGAGCAGAGTGTGGTTTTCTTTTGCGATTGACGAAAAAAAATTGCAAAACTTAACCGACGAAGATATCGATGTTGTTGCGTGTATTATCTATATATATATATATTTGTCTGTTCGTGTCGCTGCTAGTCGAACTTATTATATATTATAAATAATAATAATATTACTACTACCTTAGAGGATCTGACTAACTGGAGTTGTGTTGTTATTGTTGTTTACTAACAGTGGATTTAGACACTTAGATGAGAGGCGAATCTTAGGAGATTATTAACTGATTAACTAACGTAGGTAACCGAATATCGAATTAGAGCCTTAGGCAGCGTAGATTGTTTATTTTTCCACCCTTTTTAATAATAATAATAAATATATAGCATTTAGAATAATCAACGCTAACGTGTGTTCTCTTCGTTTATATTAACTGGTAGAGGAAGTTAAACTAACCATTAGACAATGTTGCACTGACTACTACGATAAACTTAGGCCGATTTTAGTGGGTGTCGTATTATTATCGATTTATTTATCAACTTTTTTCGTTTTTTTGGGGGGGAGTTTGCTTCCTTGTAATCACATCATCCACAAAGAACCATTTTCCTCGGGGGTTTCCCCCATCAGCTCATCTTCACCTTTCCATCTCGAAGAGCGATAGAGACTTCCCAAAATAAAACTAATATTTGCACGTGCGTGTCGCTTTCCGTTTTGTTTCTCGTTTCCGTAGAGTTCGCTGAGTACGAGCCTTGGGCAGGCGAATGTTCCGCAGCCGTCGACGGAAGGCCAGAGCCATCCGGATCAGTGCCAGATCCTGAGCGCCGCCGAAAAGACTGACGACAACAACGATCAACATCTTCATCAACAACAACATCCGTCCTCGCGACGTCCGTCGGACGACAATCAGTAGTCAAATTTACACGTGTCCTTTACACACGCACGCATCTACATACTAGGTGAGTCTGCAACCGCTCCACCTCTTCCATCAGTGTTCTTAAACCTTCTATTTTATTTCTGGTCTCACTCGAAACTGCTATATTTCACTTATTGCATCAATTCGAACTGATTCATTTTTAACTCTGAAAATACAAAATTATTATAACTTAAATCTGTTTTCGGGCATAAAACGAATCAGAGATCATCCGGATGACGATTGAACAATTCGAACGCGACATCTCACCGCATTGTTTCAAGCATTTGGACCAAGTTCAAGTGCGCTCGCGAATACCGCATTCTTGCATCATGCCAATATATATATTCTTTGTTTTTCTTTCCATTGCTTCCATTGTTTACAATCTCATTCACTAATCAAGTGAAACTTGTCTTATATACTACTTTTGTTTTGTTTTTAAATTTCAGATTAACGAAGACAAATCGAAGATGCCATGTATATTGAAAACGAAAAAAAACACCAAAAAGCTACGTAGAACTGCCAACAGGAATATATATATATTTAAACAAAACAAAAATGTTGAGAAATATTGTAATCTAATAAGTGCATGTGTGTATGTTTGTATAAATATTATATAATATATATATATATATTTTAGTAATTTTTCTGTCCGACAAAAATGAAATTTTCGATGAGAAAATGCGTTCGTTCCTAGATTTTTCTCGTCTAATTTTCATTTTTTTTTTATCCAAAAAAGAAAAACGTCCTCTTTTTTTAGTGTTATCTAAATGATTTATGTTATCGGAAAATTTACTGTAAATCTTGTTTTATTATTATTATTATTATTGCGATAAGAGATAGTCAAATTATTTATTATTATTAACAAAAGAAGAACGTTTCGAAATCACTTGTTTATTGTTTATAGTTTTTTCTCGTTTGTTTCTACATATATTAATTATATTAATATATTATATTTACATATAAGTTTTCCTTTCAGATGATTCGCTATTTTTATATATGTAGACAATAAACAAAGATAAATATTAAAAAAAAAAAGAAAGTTGATTTGAGTCTTTTGTTGCGAACACGCAATAATTTCCAATTTTTGTTTATTTCGTCTGAATGAAATTTGTAATGCGAACGTCGTTAGCAAAATACAATGTTGCAATGGAAAAACAACGAAGATATAGTTAATTGCTAAACACTGTCAATATGTCATTTTATGACCGAACTTAAATTATTTAATTACATGCAATTTTGTTTATATTTTCTTTGCGAATCGACATTCTCTGTTTATTTATTTCATTCAAATTGGATTTTCGAATTGCAATTCAATTAATGTTGTAATGTCTGTGTTTGTTACATAATTGTCCTTCCCAATTATCCAACATTGATGACATTGTCATTTCATGTCAAATAACTGTCAAAAAAAATTATATTATTCAATTCAGTCTGCACCAATTTCATTTTAACAGTCTCTTTTTGTTTAATTATGATTTTTTACACTTACCATGTAAAGAATTTAGAACTTCTTAAATTATAACAAATCGAAGAAGGTTTGTAAAATGAGTTAGTTGCGTCATTTGATTCTGTCACATTTGAATAGCGCTGATTTCGAAGTAATAATTTGAGATGAGTTTTAACAATCCACTAAATTGTAAAACATTTTCGGCAATTGAAGTTATATAACAGGGGTGGCCAGTCTTTTTTTTTAATCTCAATCATAATATAAGATATATATAATATTTGTGGTTCAACTAGCCACAACAAGACTCTTGAAGAGCCGCATGTGGCTCGCGAGCCACAATTTAGCCACCCCTGTTATATAATAATGAGATTAAATGATCAGCTGGAAACTGTCAAATAAGTCAATAAGTTTTGTTATGAATTGAGAAGGCTTATGAAATAAGCTGCGATAGTCATCTTCTTTTGTTTTAAACAACACAATGTCAGATTTCGAGCGCACTGATTTCGTTGTCGCAGTTTGTGGTGAGTTTTAGCAAATTTAATTCATCAAATTACACTTATTGAATGCAGGAAACTTATTAGTACACAATACGCATAGTTTTCAAGCTTCTTGTTTTTGAATTAATCGAAATATCTCATTAATTTACACAATGACAGTTTATGTGTATGAACATATGCTATGTGTTTGCATATCAAATTCAACAGATGGCAATTATAACATTATGTCAGAGACAACACAATTTTAATATTTATGTTCCATCATTTGATTTACGCTAATTACATGATCAGATATTAATTAATTTGTTTCAATTTTGTCAATTATAATTTGAACAATACTAAACAATTGCAATTTTCAGGTAACCAGATCAAAACAAATTGAAAATGGACAAAAGGGATTTTAGAATCAAGATGCTTGTCTATGAGGTATGTTTATGTATGGATTCATTTAAGTTTTTATTAATTTATGTAAATTTCATTTGTTTTAGAAACTCTACTATGGAAATCTAGATGAGAATGTAACATTGAACTGGGATCTCCTTGAGCACCTGGTTTTGGATTCGATTGGGCAATTCGCGGTGGAAACAATAAATCTGGAGCTATTAGACAGTAAGTGATCGGGCCTCGTAAACTGGACTAAAAATAAAGCTATTCCGATTTCCAACAGGTACGAGGTCAGCCTAAGGATAATGATCTCGATTATTATTATTATAATGACCGTTTGATATGCTCTATCCATTTATTGTGAGTGTGCGTTTCGTGCAATTCTTGTATTTGTTCGTGTATTTATTAATTTTTTGTTTTCTTTTTGCGAGGTGATTGCCGCCAATGCCAAAGAAGAGTGCAGAAGTGAGCAGTCGAGGAGGGCGATCGTCACGATGAAAAATGCGTACTTGAGCCGTTCACTTTTTCACCGATTTTTTTTTCGGGTAAACGCACACACACACCACATCAACGCGCATTGGATGCTATTGGATTGGATATAGGCAATAACCAATTCTGCGGCCGTCCGCTTCAGTCAGTTGCATTCGGGAACGCGACCGGTGGTGAGCAGCAAAACAAACAATCAACAACAAAAACTATAGAAGAAGAAAAAAACGTCCGAACAGCAGAGAAATAGATTCTTGTTTATCATCGTTTTGCCATTTCCGTCGACTGCTATGAAACTATTTTGAGTGCAGAGTGTGCGGAATAGACGGAGCCAAACAGATAGTTTCATAGAGTTTGTGCAAGAAAGTCTCCCCAGATTCGCATCCCAAGAAACGAGAACCGGTGAGTACATAAATTGCACGTTTATTGATAAATTAATTAACATTTATCATTTGATATGGAAACGAGTTTGTCTTCCTTTATAGTGTGAGAGTATTTTGTTTGTTTTTTTGTACGCTTCCACTTAATTGAAGCAATTACCCAGTGCCATTCGCCGTTGTGCGACTTCTCTAGAGTCTTCTCTGGATCTTGGAAATCCGCAACCTAAATAATCATCGAAGAAAGGTCGAATCGTAACGACGAAATTGTCCATATAAGAGCACGGAGAAATTCTGCTCACCTTCGCGATTTCTATCACAATGTTATTTTAAACGAAATTTAATTGTATCATTTTGAACGTTACGGTTTTATGTACCTATAAGATAGATCATTACGTCCATTTAATACATTGTCTGTGCTCTTACGTCCTTCAAATTAACAATAAAATTTAATCGAGTTAACATAACTTTAAGTAAATTTCATAAAAAATAACTATTACGAGTAAATTATATTAAAAAAAAATCATGTTTTATGCTATTGAAGTGATGTAAGTGCTTTTCTATTTTTGTTTTGTTTTTAAATGGATAATGACAATTTTATATCCCAATCAACAACACGAAGTTAAATCAGTCTTTTGTTGTTTTTTTTTTGTCTACTTACATTCACATGTCAATTAATTTGACATCAATGTTATGTCAAAGTCATTGATCTAATTAATTTCATATTAATTAATTATTGTAATTATAAGAAAATTAAAACAGATAGGAGCGATAATTATGAATAAAATTATCACACTTTCGCAGATGGAAAATTGATAATAGTAATGAGATATTTTTGCTTCAAATTTAATATGTTTCGGATGTTTTTTTTATTTTTGTTTTAAAGAAATGTCAGATGAAAGATCGATGACGTTTGAATCAGTTATATCATTGTTGCATAAATATGTTAGAAACATTCTATTTGCAGGGTAATTTCATAATAATGTTTGAAATAATACGTGTTATTAGACTAATATTGATATTTTGGCAACGGTTAACAAAGTCAATAAGAATTGCTTGCAAACGAAACGGACCGTTCAAATTGACTTGACCAAATAGGACAAGAGCTTGAAATTACTCTTGTTTTTCGATCGTTTGATCAACGAGAAAGACAGCTTCCTTCCTAATTATTCTGTTAGTTTTTGCTTTTGTTTGAAAAAGTATGAATGACCGAAATAGAAGTTGCTACGAATATGCGTGAACACGGGAGACGTTAGAGCGGGACGGATTCGAGGCATTGTCGCAATTGCCATTCATGAAAAAAAGGATCGTTTGTGTGGGGAACGAGAGCGACGTAACCTTTGAGACCCGCGAGAGCAATATTGACCTTGGCGCGGAAACCTTTTCCATGTATTTATTTATTGTACCCTTCTCGCTCTCCTCACCCACTTCTCGACAGACACACACACATACACTTTTCGTTATCCTTCTTCGTCTGCATTATATTCAATATATATATT